CTGGGCCCCCCTGACCCCTGCACTGTCCGATGGGCCCCCCTTCGCCCTCCAGCGCGCCCCTGTCGCCGGCTGCCCCCATCTCTCCCTCCGGTGCACCCTCCCGCCTGCCTTTGTCTTCCTGTCCGTTTATTCCCTCCCTTGGCCCGAATTGTCGGTTTCCTGGCCCGTCTGTTATCTTCGCTGCCATTCGCCCTATTCTCCCCCGTCCTCGCTCCTTGTCTTCACTCCCTGTCCCGCTCTGGTCTCCAAAGAGATGCTGTTCTGTGCGGAGCTGGATCACCAAGGCGGCGTCCATTGCACTGGACTAAGTCGAATAAAAACATTTCTCTCCTACAACAGTTTAATCCATTTTGCTTACTTCGTTGTAGTATCCGAGAACTGGTTTGTGGAGGTTAAGTAAAATTATAATTTTATCAGTTTATCGTAGCCACCTTCGCGACCTTTCCAAGCCACCGTTTCACCTTTCTAACCACCGTTTCCATCATCGAAGAATCAGGACGATTTAGAGATGAAATACAGTAGCTTCATTCTGAAGAGAGCTAAAAAGTTTGATAAAAGCCTTAAGTTTGACAAAACTGATGAGTATTTATTCTCGAGAGTTTATTTAAAACACAATTACAAGTAGGTAAAAATGAACCTTTATGATGGAGGGACTGCCAGTCATCAGCTTGCCAGTTGTTGGGAAGGATTTAGTTGGTTTGGGAGGTTTGGTAGGGGGATAATTAGCATAATCAGTGTGTTTGGGGAAGGGGTAGAGACCAGAGCTAGGAAACCGGACCTCGCATTCTGGTCTTAGCCACCTCTAGTTACTTGTTACCTTTGTGTGAACTTTGGGCAGGTCACCATTTTTGGCTTTTTTTTTTTTTTGGTAACGATTTCATGGCACTTACTATATGCAGACACTCTTCTGAGCTTTGTATGCATATTAATTTATATAATCCCCATCCCTGTGAGGTAGGTATCCTTATTGTCTACATTTTACACCAGGGGATTCAGGCACAGACTAGTTAAATAATTTGCCCAAGAACACCGTATAGAAAGTGGGGGAAACATCTCACATCCAGGCAGCTGCCAGCCAGTCAGCCTGATGATGCTGTGGCACCTGTGAGAGTGTGCAGCACCTAAACCACACCGCCTTTTCAGTATCCCAGATCACATTCTAAATGTGTATGGACAAAAATAATGATTCCTTGAAAAACAGTGAAAAAGACTCACCATTCATTTGGCTTTTAAATATTTTGGTAAATTCTTAAGTGGTTACTTTAATTTGACTAGGGGACCTTTTTAAAAAATGGTTATGAATCCCTTGTAAAATAGCTCTTCATTCATTGATGTACATCTGGATTTTTGTTTGTAGCTCTTGTAATTCATTTCAAAGTCATTAAGATTGAATTGTCTGTGCCATTGTTCACTTGTATTGTGAATAATTTTAAATTGTCTTAGTGTAGTCATGATGAAATTTTAACATCCTGAATTACTAGCCTTATTCAGTGTTCTGAAGCTTCTCAGTTGTTGGGCTTTTTTTTTTTTTTTTTAATGTTTTTATTGATTTTTAGAGGGAGAGAGAGGAACAGCAATGAGAGAACCATCCATCAACTGCCTCCTGCACGCCCCCTACTGGGGATGGAGCCCACAACCCGGGCATGTGCCCTGACTGGGAATCAACCGGCAACTTCTTGGTGCTGTTCAACCAACTGAGCAACACCAGCCAGGGCAAAGCGTCTTCATTTTTAAGGCCTACTCTAAGGGATTGAAAATTCTTGTAAATTTAAGCAGTATTTGGTTTAATAGTGTTTTGTGGAAGTAGCATTTGTTCTTTTTCAATAAATTGCTGATTTTGAGAAATTCTAAGATTTGTAATTATCAAGGAAATCAGATGTGTTAATTTTTGGAAATGAACAATTTCCTTATACTAATAATAAACAATTTACTTATATAAAAATAATAAATAAACAAATAAATAGTTTTATTACACAGTACAACTTAATTGCCACTAAAAAGGAAAAGCAGTTATATCAAGGGAGAATTCTTGCCTGGAAAAGGCCAACCAGTTTGCAGCTTAGAAGCCTTGCAAAGTATAATGTTTGCCCTTAGCATTGTAGGTTTGGCTAATTAAGTCATAATTACCAAGTTCCTTAATGTTTTGTGCATTCCTTTGCTGTATGTGTAAATTAAGATGCAGAGATACCCGACCTCACTGGGTTTTGAATAAATGAGTTATACAGTTGTCCTTCAGTATCCTCAAGGGATTGGTTCCAGGAAACCCTTCCACCACCCCCCTCCCCCATACCAAAATTCCTGGGTGCGCAAGTCTCCCATATAAAAGGTGTGGTGTTTGTAAATAGGCTCCAGTATGCCTACACATCACTTCATTTGCGTGGATTTAGCGAGGTGCTCTGTGCATAGCAAATTCAGGTTTTGCTTTTTGGAATTTTCTGGGATTTTCTTTTCAAATGTTTTCGATTTGGGGTTGGTTGACTCCATGATGCAAAACCTGGGGATACAGAGGGCCAACTGTATATGCAAAGCATTAAACTGCCTAGCACCTAGCAGATGTTGGCGTCTTTATCATTAAATTTATGGTTGGGGAGCAGTGATTGGTTAGATTTGGAAGCGGGAACGTCGCTGTTATTTTCATGCCTACCACCTATTATTCCTTTACCTTGCAGATAGCAGTATCTTTAATAGGTTCTTGCATTTAGCTAATAGTATGATCTAAGTTTTTCGTTCAGTGTAGAAATAATCCTTTCGAACATCCTAATCTTGCTAAATTCCTTTAGTCATTAATCTGTGAGGAACTAATTTGTTTTTTCTTTGCGTCTATCAGCTCAGGAGCTCCCACCTGGGACAATGGTGTGCATTCCTTGTATCGTCATTCCAGTTCTGCTCTGGATCTACAAAAAGTTCCTGGAGCCATACATATACCCTCTGATTTCCCCCTTTGTTAGTCGCATATGGCCTAGAAAAGCTGTGCAAGAATCCAGTGATACAAGCAAAGGCAAAATAGGCTATAAGGTAAGGACATTAAAATACCTCGACTAGGAAGGCTGGGTGAGGGGGTGGTACAGTCAGGGTAAACTATTTGGCTTTTGGAAAGGCAAGTTCTTGGAACCAGAAGCTTCATCAATGTGTCTTAATTTCTTTCTTTTTTAACTGGAGGTGGGAGTGTGGGGGGTTGGCTTTCCCTCCCAGCCTTTCCGGCCCCTGTTTTTCCTCCTGGGGGAGTTACCTTTGTCTTTCCCTCTTCGAAGCTCCAAGGGCTTGTTTCCTGAGCCTGTGCAGCCCAGCTGGCTCACTTCTACTACCTTTATAACTTTCTAAATAAACTTTCTCTTATAATTTGAAAAAAAAATAAGGAATTTGGGTATTGTTTTTTAAAGTAATTAACAGTTGGTTTAAACTAAAGTTTTAAACTAGGCCTCTGATTAATGCAGTTGCTCCTTGCCAATGGCCAAGCTAATAGCCAGTATTTCTTGGCTGCTGAGAGTAATGGTGACTAGCTCATGGGTGCGAAGAGATGACATGAAAAAAAGCCAGTTTCCCTGGTTGATAATTTTGATGGGAGACTTAATTTAGGAGGATCGTAGAGGTTATTTTATTTTATTTTTTTACAAAATGAAGTTATTATTTTTAAATGACTATTTAGAGACAACCTGTTGTTTTTAGCAATGATGCTTGTTACGTTCAACTTCGATTGTGTTCAACTGCACTAAGCCATCCTGCATAATTCTAGAAGCAGAGCTTTTTCATTCTGAAGTTTGTCGACTGTTTTCAAAGAGAGTATCTCTTATGATGAGTGTCTCGTAATAATCTCTAAAATGTTTTTTCATTTTAGGGTGCAGACATAAATGGATTACCAACATCAGGATCGACAGAAATCTCTGATAAAAAGAAAGACTAAAGGCATTGACTCAGGAACCTCCTTGTTTTCAAAATGGACCTAATAATGTGAAGCACCTTCTTTGT